TATCACAAGAGAATCAACCATCTTCAGCTGCTTCACCAATGACCTTACCTCCATCTTTGTTAAAGATTGCACAATGGTCAGCACCATTCGCAGCTCCTCAGATACTAAAGCAGTCCATGTCCAAATGCAACAAGACCTGGACAATATCCAGGCTTAGGCTGACAGTCAATTTGCACACAGGCAGCTCCCACAAACAGGGATGTGGTAATGATCAGCTTTGTTTTTTGTGATGCTGGTTGAGGGATAAGTAATGATGAGGACACCAGAGATATCGTCATGCTCTTCATTAGAATAGTGCTGTAAGACCATCAAAAAATAGGAACAGGAGTGGCCCATTTGGCCCCTTGAGCCTGTTCACCACTCAATAGGAGCATGGCTGTTCCAACACTCCTCACGTCCAATTTCCTTTCCCTCAATTCCCTGACTGATCAAGAATCTCTTGATCTCAGCCTTAAATATACACAAGGACTCTTCCTCCAGAGCTCTCTATGGCAAGGAGTTCCAAAGACTCTCAACCCTCTGCACATGGCAGTCGGTTCCTGGCCAATTAGTTTCATTTGTAAAGAATGCAAGAGAATAGAGAATGTAGAGAGTAGCTCTAACCCGATGATGTGTAAACAGTCAGGGAGGTCTGTGAAATAAATGTTGAAGAACTGTGAGACCATCTTAATCTCTTTCTCACCATGTTGTAATTGTTCTTCCCCAACATAGAAAAGCTACCAGGACGAGGATGAAGAGAGTGAAACGGATCATGAGAAAGAAGTTGCTGGACCATCAAAGACCTGATGTACAATTCAACTGAGGAGAAGAAGCTTAAGAAACCCAGCTGTAGGGATAATCTTCAGTGGTTTCCTCCTGTTACAAAGATTTGAATTTTATTTTGCAGTGGAGGTTTGCAGGCACATCAGTTTGTGCTCTGGGTTTCTGTCCTCTCTCCTTCAGGCTTGGCTCCTGTCGGTCGCAAAGGCAGAACCCGCGGTAAGAGCTGGAGGACAGAGGCTTTAGCTCAGCTCTGTGCCCCATGCTGTGCAAGTGTCAGCTGTCTGCAATACATGAGGCAGGGCAATGAGTAAGTCAGCTTTCCAGAGAAACATAAGACTGACTTGCCATAGTTACAACAGTGGCTGCTATGGTGACAGCCTCATGACAAGAATGAACCGATCTGAATCCAAGTTCAGAAAAACCGCTCGCTGTTTGATTTTGCATTTGTTCTGTTTTCTCTGCTTTGTGAAAGCTGAAGGATACTAACTGGGGTGGGGGTGGTTCCTGGATTCTGGAGGGAGGAATATTTTAAGAAGGAAAAGGCAAACCCCTCACCATTCCCCAAATATTCTAGAGATCGGTGGACACAAGGAAGGTATAATTTTTTAAAAACATCAGGCATGAGCCAAAATATGACATATTTGCAAGCAATTACACAACAGCTTTCATTGTAATTTCTAGGAGGTGGAATAAAGATACGATTCCTAGAATTTTGTTTCTACAATGTGGAGTTCTGTCTAATTTCTTCACGTGAAATAGTAAAGCTGCAAGATGTCTCTGAGCAGAATTGTACAGGAGTCTGACAGATGTGGGCTAAAGCAAGGTGTATGGCAGATTCAGACAAAAAGACCAGTGAGGTGCATATCATCTGGAACTTCTCATTTCATCTTTTATGCTTTTCACAAGTAACGGGGCAAGACTCTTGTTGGCTGGGCAGCAGTGAATTGTCAATTAAAGAGCCAAGAAATGCATGGGCAGGAGGCAGGAAGCTAAGTGTCACAGGCTTAGTGGAGCAGTCATCATTAAAGGTCATGAAGTCACCCATCAGGCAACAGGTCATTGGCAATAAGTCATGGGTCAATGATTTGAATGCACAAATTAAGGGAAATGGATATAATTTAATTTCTACTACAGAAACATGGCTGTAAGGTGACCAAGATTGGGAACTGATAATCCAAGGATATTTGGTGTTAAGTTTAATGTCCTTTCTCTTTCTTCAATCCTCTACAGTACCAAGCTGTATGAAACTGACATAAACTTCTCTTTCTGGCTCCCATCCTGTATCCAAGGTGCCGCACAACTGTGAGAACTGAATCATTTTGCACCTTCGCTGACTGACACCAATTCAATGTCCTGTCTCTAGGACAGTCGTTTTCACTACAATACTGTACCAATGACACACCTCCCCACTGTCCAGCTCCATTCCTTCAAACATAGAAGATAGGAGTAGGCCATTCAGCCCTTCAAACCTGCTCCTTCATTCAATAATTATAGCTGATCATTCAACTCAGGCCTCTGTTCCTACTTTCTCCCCCACACCCTTTGATCCCTTTAGCCCCAAGAACTATATCCAACTCCTTCTTGAAAACATTCAATGTTTTGGCCTCAACTATTTTCTGTGGTAGAGAATTCCACAGGCTCACTACTCTCTGGTGAAGACATTTCTTCTCATTCTCCTCATTTCTTCATTCTCCCAGTTCCTCTGTCTCCATCGCATTTGTTCCGGTGATGCTAACTTTGACAAGGGAGCCTCTGAAATGTCCACCTCCTTCCTCAATCGAGGATTCCCCAGCACCATCGACAGGGCTGTCAACTGGTCTGAACCATCACCCACACTTCCGCCCTCACCCCCTCTTCTCTTCCACAACAACGATAGGGTCCTCCCGGTGCTCACCTTCCATCCCACCAGCATCCACATCCAGAGGATCATTAGCCGCCATTTCCGCCACCTCCAGCGAGATGCCATCACCAGACACATATTCCCCTCTGCTCCCATGTCCACCTTCCACAGGGACCATTCCCTCAGGACACCCTGGTCCACTCTTTCTAACACCTCCCACCCTCCCAACTGGGGAAACGAAGCACAGACTGTGTGACTGCTTTGCAGAACATCTAATTTCTGTCTGCAAAATAGACCCTGAGCTTCCTGCTGCCTGCCACTTCAACACACTACCCTGTTCCCTGGTCAACATCTGTGTCTCAGGCTTGTTGTAGTGTTCCAGCAAACTCAACGCAAGCTGGTAGAACACCATGTCATTTCCCACTTGGGAATCCTGCAGCCTCTGGACTAGTTATTGAGTTCCATCATTTTCTGGCCTGAGCACCTTCTCCCATGTCCTTACCCCATTCCCGACACACCAGGCCTTGTCATCATGTAGGCTGCCATCACAAACACTCCATCTTCAGCATATATACCAACCTTTTCCAAGCTACAATCAATTCTGAAGCAGGGTCACTGGACCCAAAATATTAACTCTGCTTTCTCTCTACAGATGAAGCCATAACTGCTGAGTTCTTCCAGCAATTTTTGTTTTTCTTTGATTTCCAGCATCAACAGTTCTTGTTTTTTGTATATATTTCTCCTCATCTTAGTCCTAAATGTCCAACTGAATATACTTAAACTGTGATCACTGGCTCTGGATTTGCCGATCATCCTTTCTGCGTTAACACTGTCCAATCCTGTTCGAATTTTATAGATTTCTAGACCCTCCTTCACTCTTAAACTCCAGTGAATTGAGCCCAGAACTGACCCACCGCTACTTATTGCAGTTAAAGGGGTGGAGAGGAGAACCCCTCCTCCTTTCCATTTTAAACATTTAATTCTTCAACTTGTTTGGAACAGATTTAAAGTTTTAGGCATGAGTGAAGGAAAGTGAGGAGGGAGAGAACAGCGAACAGTAATAAGTTGGTCCTCACCATCTAAGGAGGAGATGGACGCAGGAGATGAGGAATCAGAGACATCCAACATTTTGCAGGTCACTACCAGTCTATAAATAACAAAACTTGAGGGTGTTCATACAGTAGAGATCAAAGCAATAAGCTCAGTACTCAGGATTCATGCGATCAACATTCACAACAAACTGCAAAACATTCCACAAAGCTAAGCTCATAAATCAACACAGGTTTCAGTGTTTGGTTCTCATGGGTCTGTTCTGATTCTGTAATAGATTCCTGCTCCTTAACCTACAGCTGAGCAGTTGTCCCAGCCCATGGGCTATGCCCTACTCCAGAATACAGCATCCAATTGTATTGAGGCAGGAGTGTCACAGTGGCTGAGGCAGACAAACCTTTCGACTCAGGTTAATCTAACAGCTCAGAACATTAGTCTATATCTTGCCTGCACCGAGAGGTTTTCAGGGAACACTCAATGTGGAGGAGTTATCCCTTCACCTATAAATGTTTCCAACTGCGACAAATTTTGCTGCATCCACTGTCATTTCAAGTGGTTCCAGAACCATTCACCTCAGGAATGAAAACCAGAATCCTTAGTTCCACTCTAATTCTTCAACCAAACATATTCAAACTGATCCCTGAGCCACGCCACTAGCTACCAATCCCCAACCAGAAAAACATCCATTTTTGTAACACCGTGCACCTTTACCTTATGCCACAGCCTTTTGTGTGGCATCTTGTCAAGTGCCTTCTGGAAATCCAGATACACCACATCCATCCTCAAAGAATTCCAATAAATTAGTCCGACATAATCTGTCTTTCACAAACCCACGCTGCCACTGCCCAATGGGACAATTTCTATTCGGATGTCTCGCTATTTCTTCCTTCGTGATAGGTTCAAGCATTTTCCCCACTGCAGAGAGTTAAGCTAATGGGCCTTTTGTCTACCTCCTTTTTTTTTTAAAAAAAAAGTGGTGTCACATTTGCAGCCTTCCAATCTGTCAGAACTGCCTCAGAGGACAGCGAATTTTGGTAAATTACCACAAATGCATTTCCTCTTCTCCCCACCACCCCGACCTCCCGCTGTTGGCATTTTCAATATTGAGGATGGTGTTGGATTTTCATCTTTAATGGCTGGTGTTGTAATTTCTAGGAGCTAAAATACAGATACAATTCTGGCACGTTCTTTAGCAACATCTTCATGTGATGTAGCAATCTGCAGTTCTCAATCCTGATGCACCGGCGGGTGGTGGAACAGGGGAGCAAGGGGTCCTCTACAAATAGGAATTCTTCCACCCATCCCTCGGATTGTGGTCTGCACAGTTTCCGAAAAATCAAGACACTCGCTGTTCAAAAACAGTACCTTTAATGAGACACTAAACCAACAATTGAATTGCTCATAAGACGTCAATAGAAAATTAACTTTGGAATTAAAAAAAATCTTAAAAGATATACAGCACATTTGAGGTAAACACTTAATCCCGGTTTATTTCCACCCCCCCCCCACCCCCCCCGGCCCCCCCACCCCTGGGTCTCCCCCCCCCCCCCCTTCCTTCAAATCAACACAGCATCCTCCAAGTTTGGTGGTTTCTGCTGTTTTGTGAAAAGTAACACAATCTCTCATCTCCCTGTGATGGGCTCTTCCAACCACTTCTCAAATCTCCTTTGCTTTGAGCTCAGGGACAGGCTGGTCTTGTGCAGTGCAGTGGGTTCCTTGTTTCACACTGGGCCCCAGGAAATCACGCCAGTGTCTCTCACAGAACAGGGCAGTATCAGCGACAGTCCCTGCACCAGCCCAACATCAAACTACTGGAGGAGAATCTAAATGTGTCTGATTGCCCTTTGAAAAAACAGTCCAGCCAATGAATTTTTAAGGGAAGCAGCAAACAGATGCTGATCGCCCTCAGGCAGCAGTACATTCGTCAAAGAGCAGGGAAGGCTGAGACAGGAACAGCAATAATGGGGACAGAGGAATAAATCCATCTCGAGCAGAGGGAGGAGGAACAGCACCAGACAGTGGAGAGTGACAGGAAGACAGGGGCTGCAAAGGACAGTCAGGGAGCAACACAGACAGAGACAAATTGGTGCACTGCGGCGGGGGGGGGGGGTGTCTCTCTGAGTGCATTCAGAAGTTGGCTCTGGTTGTCAGGGAATAAGCTGCTTTTGTGTTAAATCAGGGAATCGGGGGGGGGAGGGGGAGAGAGAGAGAGAGAGAGAGAGAGAGAGAGAGAGAGAGAGAGAGAGAGAATAGTGGAACAGAAAGAACATTTCTCAAAACTCCTGCTAGCAGATTAGAGAACGGCCTGCAGGATGGGGTGGAGCAGACACAGTCCTAGTGGGTGGAATTGGGCATGTGTGACAAATCTCAGCATGGCAAATGCCACTACTATCCCAAAGTTCATTAAATATTTTTTAAAGAGCTTCATAAAAATACACAAACCCCACCACACATTATATGTCAAAATGTATGTAAACTGCTGGGGTCTTTAAGATGTTTAGTGGAGATCGGATGGGGGGGTGGGGGGGCAAAGGGGAGTAATGCAGGGGTTCCCTGCGCTGTCCCACTCCCCATATACATCAACCTTGTCACTCAGAAAATTAAAACAATCCTGGATGTTATCACTGCCCACAACCAAACACTGGAGACAGCCCTCTGATCGGACCCTCTCTAGCCCCTCCACGTTACAGCGCTACATCTCTGCCTCTCACTGGAGAGGACCCTCTGATCAGACACTCTCTAGACCCTCCACGTTACAGCGCTACACCTCTGCCTCTCACGAATTGTGAAATGGGACTGAACTCTGGCCAAACAGTTAACTTGCTGTAGACACAAGTTCAGGACCGAGTAGAGTAAATGCTGTTCTCCAGCTCCCTTCACTTCACTCTGGAGAGTCCAACAAGGCCATTTCGACCCAGTGCGAGACTGGGACTGTGTTAATGTGGCTCCCACTCCCTCCACAGCTGCTGTCTGACCCATGGAGTGTTTCCATGATCTTCGTTGGCGGAGACATGTCATAAACATGGGGCTGTTACCAAAGAGAATTCAGGAGAGACCTCACTTTTCAGGAGAGAAGGTGAACTCTTCGAGAGGGATGCTCAGAGCAAAAAGCCATGGGGGGGACAAAAAAAGGGGCAGAAGGATACACTGATGGGGTTAGATGGAGGGGTTGGGAAGTTGGGGGTTGAATAACCTACTTCTGGGCTGTGTATATCTTACTAAAACTCGATCTGAGCTTACAGAGGAGCGCATAGCTCCGGCAGTTAAATTATAACTCTCTTATTTTGTAAATCTATATGTTTCAACACTAGGGGTTTTGAGGAGGAAAAGAAAAGTAAGAAGTGAAAAGGAAACTAAACATATTGCACACTGGGAGAACAATGGTGTAAACCTGAAGCAATTATTAACAAGAACAGAGCGGGAGAGGAGAGGGAATTGGGCCAGAGCTGAGCATGGGGTCGATTGGGGTCCCAGTCACAGTGAAGTAAAGGGGGAGACGTCCTCCAATTTGGAAGGACCCCCCACTTCGTAGAACTGGGAGTTTGTGGCAGAAAATTGGAATAATCGCTGTCTAGCGCAAACAAACGCTCCTCGCAGAAAGGCCGTGGGCTCCGGGAGACTTGCAGCTTTCCTGCGAGGTGCCAATGCAGCCTGGTGTCAAACTCCATCAGTCAGTGTTTGTACAAATCAAGAAGTCTACCAATCCCAAACAGAGTCACGGGGGGGAGGTGGGGAATCATACCAAGGAGATGGAAGTTTAATTATGGAGCGGCGGGCAGAGAGATTCCTTTACAGAGTGGCAGTGGGGCCGAAGCGGATTGGCCACAGAGTATGGTTGAGATGGAAATGGGGAGGTAGGGGTTTTGGAAGAGGAGCTGTGAGAAGAGACAGCAGACTGTAGCAGCCAGCAGTTACCTGGGGACAGATGGCAGTCTCCTATGCGCTGGCAGTGTTTCTTAACGTTCTGAAATTACAGACACTCGCTGATTTGCTACTCATTTTGGAGACGGTTCTTCAGTGGATCATTAACGGTGGAGAGAAAGTGCAGGCACTTCTTGGGGCGCTGTGACACAGTGGTAGTGGCTCTGCCTCTGGGTTCATTAAAGCAAGGCGATTTTAAATAGCGCCAGGCACTTCTGTCACGAGATAAGAAGGAACTCGACACATCGATTAGACAGCTAGTGAATGTCCTGAGCTGCTTCAAGCAAACCTCGCCACACTGCTGCGTGAATGATCATCTCCAACCTTCAACCTGTGTAAGTGCAGACCTGAGCCATTGGGAACGCGGGACGATTCCCCCCCACTATGTACCGACAGTGGTAGAAGGAGACGGCACCAGAGACAGGAGATACCAGTCAAAAATACAGCACTTCAGTTCCGCTAAACTCAGCCCACCTCCACTCTTTCCCCCAGCTCCCCCCACCGTTGTCTTTAAAACCACAGTAAGCCTCAGTAAGGAGAACACAGAGGGTCCTGAGAAAAAATCTTCTTTCCAAACCCTTCTCTCCTGCCCCACCACGGGTCAAGAACAGCTCAAGGCAGTGAGCACGTTTCTATTCATAAGACATTTCAGTAAAATCACCTCTATTTTGTTAATTCATCTAGAGGCATCACTGCCTGATAACTTGCTGAACTCTCTCTCTGTACACAATACATGAGACATTATTCTCTGGGATTAGCAAAAGCCACATCAAAGCGTGTTTCAGCTGCTTTGTTGCGTGCAACCACTTTTTATTTTTGCAGGTGGGATGTGGGCCATCACAGCCTCACCATTTGCCCCAACTGAGGGGAAGTAACAAACAGCAGATTGCAAGGTCAGGTCAGTGAGCCATGAAGTTGGTGAGTCAGCTCCACGTCTCTTTTTACAAATGTCAATCTTCGTCTTTGCAACTTCTCTTAAAGGTGACCGAGGCTGTAACTAATACAAATGAGCTGAAGGGACAAGGAACTGCAGGACAACAGAAAACAGTGTCCCAGGCAGGTGCAAAATTTTCAGGACAGCAGGGGAAAGAAAATTGAGAACTGTAAACATACTTCTGAAAATGCACACAGGAGCTGCGCAGTTAATTATAAAAATCGCCTTTTAACATTACAACTCAGATTGGAATTTAATTTCAATGTTTTCTGGTTAATCCATTCTCAAGGTGTTTTGAAAAGGATGAAGTGAAGCACTTGATCAGTCCACAAGTTTTTTTAAATATATAGAGATATATTTTTTTCTTTTAAAAAGTGACGCTAACCTTTCACTATCTGAAAATGCATCAACAGCACTTTGCACAGTGCACTTTGTAGAAAGCACTGCTAACAAAAGACGGTAGATTGATTTATACATCAACTTAAAAAAAAAAAGCCTTCCACCTCAAAACAGGAGAGATTCCATCTCCCCCCAACCCCCTCCCCTGCCAGTTGATAGGAGCGATCCTTGAGGATGAAGAACCCATCCGAGTTACTGGGCCTGGCTCCAGACATTTCCATTGACAGGAACTTCCTGAGGCCCGAAACAAAGCAAAAATTTTAAAAAACTGACATGTTGCTTGCAGTTTCTCTTTTGTTTTTCTCTTGCAACACTTATATTTTATACCAGGGACATGGGCAAAGGGAGAGTGTGAGGGGGACAGAGAGAGATAGGCGAGTGAGAGAAAGCAGCGCACAGCATCAGTGCAAGCTTTCTCCTGCTCCAAAGACAATTTACAGTACTGCCTGCAATTGAGGAACCCAGTCAGTGAACACCTTCCCTCTGGGGTGTCAGTCAGAGTCCGAGAGAACAATAATTTCTTCCGGGTCACACTGCGTGGCCACGTTCACCTGAAACAGAGGAACAAACACCAAAAGAGGGTCAGGAAACTTGCTGCACACAGTTACTCCACATGAAAGCTCCCCTTCCCACTCCTCGCCGCGAGGAGAAGGACCTACAGCGTTTGAGATGAAAGGCGGCTACCGACAACAGAGGGGCAACTTGAAGAGCGGTCGGATTTAGGACACGCATGCAGCCAGATTAGGTGATAACGCCCCCCTCCGTCACCACCAACCCCCAGTATTTACAGCCACAAACACATTGCCTTAGAAACATGGAGATGGAAAAGGACCACCTGTGGTCACTGCCTTCAGCAGTGAAGGCTCACAGGGAGCACCATCCGTGGCCTGGAGGTCCCAGGCTCCATCACCTCTCAGCAGTTCAGCACCCTCCCCCACCCCTTCATCCAAGCAAGAAACTATGCCCACAGCTAGGCAAAGTACTCCTGGGTGTTTAAGCATCTTCAGGCCCCGTCCTGTACTGGGGTCACACTTTTACAGGGGTGCACGGGCACCAAAGGAGATTTCTCTGATAACAGTTCAACAGGCAAGGAATTTCGGACACGTGGATAGATCGGAGAGGTCGGGATTGTTTTCCTTGGAGAGGGGGTGGCTGAGAGGAGGAGGGAGGTGCTCAAAATCACGAGGCGGCTGTGTAGAGCAGCTCAGGAGAAACTGTTCATAAGTATTTTAATCCTGTGTTCCACTAGCACCAGTGAGTGGGCAGCAAATCTAGCCTCACCTGCCAGGGAATTTTACACAAAAAAAACAGCCACAGGCATCAGGTTGAACACCGGGACACCGATAACCCACTGCCCCCCCTCCCTGTGTTTTACACGAGTGAATGGTGAATGAAAGAGTGATGTTTTTACCCTGGGGTGCCCGACAGGACTGGGCTGAGAGCTGGTGACCACACTGACAAGGGGAGAGTCTGCTCGGGTTGAATCGACAGCTGGCAGCAGAGACTTGACACCGACTGCGGACTCAGCACAATCCATCAGTGAATCCTCCAGCCCTTCATCAGACTCCATCAGTTCAATCACATCCACACTTCTGGTTTCCAACACGAGTAACAAACAAAACACAAAGTAAAAAAAAAATGCAAGATTTCTTTCTTTAAATCATTCAAAGTTGATTCGAATAATTAAAACGGTACTCAACTGCAGTCAAAAAAAGGGACAGTTCTTTATCAACATCCCACACATTAAATAACATTTCCCAATCGAACTGGGGATCTGTATTTACTCACCTGTTGAGCAGGCCTCCTTACGCTGTGCTCTCTCAAACAGAGGGTGGTGCGTGTATGGAACGAGCTGCTAGAGGAAGTGGAGGAGGCTGGGATAATTACAACATTTAAAAGGCATCTGGATAGGGAAATGAATGGGAAGGGTTTAGAGGGACATGGGCTAAATGCTGGCTATTGGGACTGGATTAATTTAAGATATTTGGTCGGTATGGACAAGTTGGACTGTTTCCGTGCTGTACATCTCTGACTAAGTCTCATTTACTATCGAGTCCCTGCCCATGTGATCCCAGTCCTGCAGAACCTTCACTATAAGATCCACCGCTGTGATACCACAGTCGCTTGATGGCCCCACTCCACCCTCGGAGATGATTTCGGAACTCCAACTCAAAGCTGAGCCCTTAAAGGGGTTACCAGCTGCTAGGCTGGACAGGACCACATACAACACAGCTAGGGGTCGGTGGTTCACGGTGAAGAGGGAAGATTTATCAGTCAGAAGAAATACAGACTACTACGTCACTGACAGCTACTCAAGAGAGTGTGCCACACATTAATGGAACACTGTCAAACACAATGACTGTAACCCAGGTGTGGGACTAGCACTGGAATCTGGTGACAGATGCAGACAGTTTTGCAATTACTAAAACTGCCCTTTCCACAGTCATTACAAAAGAGCTGTCATCTAAAACATTATTTTAGAATATCATTGGTTGGACATGCACCCCGAATCTTAGCAATTGAAAGCAGACTCACTTCAACAGCAAAAGATGTTGCAGTTGCAAAGAACAATTCCTTGATGGAGTAATAAGATCGACAATACTTTGTGATTATAGGACCCAGTTTAGATAGAATAAAGATACTGAACTTGATTGCAATGAGAGAAACTTGGAACAGAAATTGCTGGAGAATCTCAGCAGATCTGGCAGCGTCTATGGAAAGCAGTTTCAGCTCCAGTGAATAAATACCAAAAGAACACTGATGCCGGAAGTCAGAAACAAAAACAGATATTACAGCAAGAGTTAACTCTGATTTCGCTCCACAGATGCTGAGCTCTTCCAGCAATTTCTGCTTTTGAGAAGATGAGAGAAACTTGTGTAACACCACAGCTTTCAGTTGAAAACCCACTGGAGGATCACAAGCAGAGAGCTTCTACAGGATAATTCTAAAAGGACAATCCCCAATCAGTTCTCTGTCTAAGTAGGAATAATTCATCCAGTAATACCTGATGCAGGCAGGAATACCAGTGCAAACAGACAATGTGGATAACTCTACAGTCAGATTTTCAGGATTCCTTGGCAAAGTACTCGACGGCATTTGTACCACGTGCCCAGCTCATGTTCTGGTTAGCAGTAACCTTCAAGATGTTGATAGTGAAGAATTCAGTGATGGTAACACCATAGAATGGTTGGATTCTCTTGTTGGAGAAGGTAACTGCCTGGCATGTGTGGCATGAATGTTGTTTGCCACTTACTGGCCTAAGCCTCGCCACCATCCAGCTCTTTCTGCGTACGGGCACAGACTGCTTCAGTCTCTGGAGCGTGGCTAATAGTGAAGGCCCTACATGATCAATCCCAACTTTGATTTGACGATGGAAGGAACATCACTGATAAAGCAGTTTATTTAAGTTTGCTCCTGGGATGTGGGAGACACTGGTTAGGCCAGTGATTACTGCCATGTTGTACCTGGAGTGTTATTATGAAGGGAATTCTAGGAATTTGACCCAGAATCACTGAAGGGACGGTGATATACCAGCGAGTGATCAGAGGGGTATGTGCAGTGGCGGTCCCTTATCTTCTGGACGAAAGGAGCCGCAGCTTGAGAAGGTGCTGGCTGAGCATCTTGTAGATGGTGCACACTGCTGTCAGTGGTGAAGGGAGTGAGAGGTGTTTGATGTGGTGCATTTCAGGCAGGCTGCTCTGTCCTGGACAGGGTCAAGCTTGTGAATTGTGCAGAATATTCCATCACGTGTAACTTGTACCGTGTAGCTGGTGGATAGGCAGTTGGGAGATAAGAGGCGAGTTACAAGAAGCCATTATTTATGTGGCTAGTCCAGCTGAGTTACCGGTCAGAATATGAGAGAGGCAGAGGACTATGATAACGCCAATGAATGTTTCTCTTGTTGGAGATGGTGCCCTCTTGCCAATTATCAGGCAGTAAATTCTGTAATTACCACCCTGGAAGTTGTTAGTATTATTTTAGGTCCTACCTGGTTAGAACAAACATCTTTCAGCCAGAGCATAGTTTGCAGTCCTGTCAATGTTGCTGGTGTCAATGTGAATAACAGTGAATCCCTCTGGTTCTAGCCTGAAGCCTTACACCAGGACGTCCACAACCACCTTCAGGATTCTTGCTCCAGGGAGGGAGTGTCCACCCATGAAGTAATTTCCATTTCTCGCTCCTGCCCGAATGGGTCTCTGTATCGGGGAGTGGGGTCAGATTGCTCACCCTCACGGGAAAGCATGCACGCAGCTTGGAGGAACACTAAGTGTTGGACAACTACAAAGACTCAGACCCCGTGTGGAGCTGCAGTCACACCCCCAGGTCAATTCACATTCAAAAACCTGCACTGAAAACTCTGCCCGTTTCAATAAATGTGTCACTGAAGACAGACAGAATAGCCAGAAAGGAAGGTTCAGCTGAGGAGAAAATGATACATGGGCACAAAACACTCACTGCCCTCTCTACAGAGCCGCTGTCTGACTAAACAGTATTTCTAACATTTCCTGTTTTTAATCCAAACTCCTGACTTGTGCCTTGTAGATGAGTCAAGAGACTTACTCGCCACAGAATTCCTGGCCTCTGATCTGCTCCTGCAGCTACAGTACTTACATGGATGGCTGTTCCAGTTCAGTCTCTGGTTAAAGATAAACCCAGGGATGTAGAAATTGGGAGATTCGGTGATGGCAATGTCAATGAATGTCAAAGGAAGGTGGTCATTTCCTGGCATCTATGTGGCACAAATGTTATCTGCCACTTGTCAGCCCAAGCCTGGATATTGCCCAAATCTTGCTGCACCTGAACATAGAACATAACAGCGCAGTACAGGCCCTTCGGCCCTCGATGTTGCGCCAACCTGTGAAACCAATCTGAACCCTATCTAACCTACACTATTCCGTTATCATCCATATGTTATCCAATGACCATTTAAATGCCCTTAAAGTTGACTGTCTACTGCTTTTGCAGGCAGGGCATTCCACGCCCTTACTACTCTGAGTAAAGAACCTACCTCTGACATCTGTCCTATATCTATCACCCCTCAATTTAAAGCTATGTCCCCTCGTGCTAGCCATCACCATCCGAGGAAAAAGGCTCCCACTGTCCACCCTATCTAATCCTCTGATCATCTTGTATGTCTCTATCAAGTCACCTCTTAACCTTCTTCTCTAACGAAAACAGCCTCAAGTCCCTCAGCCTTTCCTTACAAGACCTTCCCTCCATACCAGGCAACATCCTGGTAAATCTCCTCTGCACCCTTTCCAATGCTTCCACATCCTTCCTATAATGCGGTGACCAGAACTGTATGCAATACTCCAAGTGCGGCCGCACCAGAGTTTTGTACAGCTGCAACATGACCTCATGGCTCCGAAACTCAACCCCTCTACCAATAAAACCTAACACACCGTACGCCTTCTTAACAACCCTATCAACCTGGGCGGCAACTTTCAGTGATCTATGCACATGGAGATCTCTCTGCTCATCCAGACTACCAAGAATCTTACCATTAGCCCAGTACTCTGTATTCCTGTTACTCCTTCCAAAGTGAATCACCTCTCACTTTTCCGCATTAAACTCCATTTGCCACCTCAGCAGTTTATCTATGTCCCTCTGTACAAAGTCCCACCGAATTTGGTGTCATCTGCAAATTTACTGACCCATCTTTCTACGTCCTCATCCAGGTCATTTATAAAAATGACAAACAGCAGTGGCCCCAAAACAGATCCTTGAGGTACACCACTAGTAACTGAACTCCAGGATGAACATTTCCCAACAACCACCACCCTCTGTCTTCTTACAGCTAGCCAATTTCTGATCCAAACCGCTAAATCACCCTCAATCCCATGCCTCCGTATTTTCTGCAATAGCCTACCATAGGGAACCTTATCAAACGCTTTACTGAAATCCATATACACATCAACTGCTTTACCCTCATCCACCTGTTTGGTCAGCTTCTCAAAGAACTCAATAAGGTTTGTGAGGCACGACCTACCCTTCACAAAACCGTGTTGACTATCCCTAATCAAATTATTCCTTTCATGAACATGGATTGCTTCAGTATCTGAGGAGTCACAAATGGCGCTGAACATTGTACAATCATCGGCAAACATCCCACTTCTGACCTTATGATGGAGGGAAGGCCATTGATGAAGCAGCTGAAGATGGTTGGGCTGAGGACACTACCCTGAGGAACTCCTGCAGAGATGACTGACCTCCAACAATCACAACCAACTTCCTTTCCACCAGATATGACTCCAACCATCAATTCCAGCTTTCTTCAGGCTCCTTACTGCCACACCCGGTCAATGTGACCCTGATCACCTCTGAGCTGAGGCTGTAAATGAAGCTGACTATTCCTGTTGAAAACCAAATGATTGTCAGGGAGCATGGTTATTCTTGCTGACATGGTATCACTTGATGGGACATAATTAGCCAAGTTTTGGCTTTGCATTGTTCGGGTGTGTACAGGACATTCCTAAAGCCCAAGTCATCAGTCCTACTGCTAGAATGTTGTCAAGGCCCATAGCCTTTGCAGTAACCAGTGTCACCAGTTGTTTCTTTACTGTGGTGGCTGACTGGGTCAGGGAACTCACCTTATCAAGGAGGTGCAGGAGTGGCGAAGGTAGCAGAGTGGCTGCATGAGGAGGTTTGTTTGAGGAAGCCTATTTGTTTGTAACTGGATCACCCATCATTGCAGCGAGAAACGTTTAGCATCTGTTAAAGACGACAAGCCCTGGCTGGAACATGAGAGCAGGAAGGACTGAGCTGGAGCGCATACACTCAGCAGCAACAGTAAAAGCGGCAGCTTGATCTGTGTGAACCTCCAATGCAACATTCCTAAACCCACTCAACTCAGACTCTCATAACACAAGGGCCAGGAGGCCAGGTACCACACCACAACTCTACACTGACAAAAACTCTCAACAATGTCAACCACCAAAAATACATCGGAGCTCTGGTTCCAAGTACCTCGGCACCGACAGCTGCTGCAGACCTACCCAACATTATTCAATTAAACAAAATCACACATGACTAACTATTTACAAATCCACACCAACTCTCTGATCAGCTCATGCTTCTCCATCTGCTCAAACACTCAGCCCCTAATGACAGATAAAATAAATCCTCAGTGCACAGCCCTGTGATTAACCAGATTTCACCAACTCCTGACCAGATGTCCTCCCAGGAGAGTTCAGCTCAGAATCTTGCAGGAACCTACAAGTAGCGAGCAGGCTAGAGAAGGACTGTATTATTAACATGTTATCCCTCAGCATACAGACCTTCTGAGAGTCTATCACCTCAAACCCACTGTTTCCACATCATTCCTGGCAGGAAATTGACATTAGCTAGGTTTAAGAGAAATTACAGATGACACAGCAGTCTTGAGGGAGATACCCGGAGAGCGTTGTGTGGTTGCAGTGTTTTTTTTTTTAAAACACATTCGCTCATGGGACCTGGGTGTCACTGACCAGCAGCATCTACTGCACAGGTGCTGCTGGGAAAGTGATGGCGCGCGCTCACACATAATTATGCAGTGCCGAGGGGGCACAGGCTGCCAACGGCACACATCCAGGCTCTTTACTGAGCCCCATGGGAATGCTTAACCCTAACTGAACAGCAGCTGTCCCCTGTTTGAGCACAGCCCTCTCTCAGATAAAACCACAGACCAGACAGAAACGTAAAGTGGGGGGGGGGGGGGGGAAGAGAGAGAGGAGAAGAGAGGAGAGGAGGGTGGGGGGCAGAGAGAGGGAGGAGAGTTCATTCATTCCCTTTGAAGGCAAGGGCTCCAGCTATGTTTCAGTTTTGGTCAGCAACACTGAACACCTCACTATTTTGACAAATTGAGCACACAAAGCCTTCAGCAGTTCACTGATACTGAGCCAGCTGATTGGTATCCATTCAGCAGGTCTGCAGACACTCTGCACACAAATTTTTACAGCATGTCTCTGGACCAGAATCGCATTTAGACAGCACTTCGACCACTGGGCATGTCAGATCCCCTGCACAGCCAATCAAGTACTTTTCAGAGGATCACTACTGTCGGAAGGCAGGAATTGCAGCAGCCATTTTCTGCCCAGCAAGCTCCCACAAAGTGATACTCCAACAAGGAAGGCCCCTCCCCTGGATGTGGGCTGGGCGTTAAGTATCTGCCTGGACTCCAGACCCAGAGAACTCTACTGTCCTTCCTCAAAATAACTACCCCCCACTCCCACCACACCACCGACACTGTACACACTGCTGTTATCTACAAGGTGCTCTGCAGAAACTCACCAAGGCTCCTCAGGCAGCACCTTCCAAACCCACAGCCACTTCCATCTAGAAGGACAAGGGGCAGCAGATACATGGGAACACCACCCCCTGCAAGTTCCCCTCCGAGCCCCTCCCCATCCTGACTTGGGAATATATCACTGTTCCTTCAGAGTTGCTGGGTCAAAATCCTGGAATTCCCTCCCTAAGGGACATTGTGGGTCAACCCACAGCACATTAACTGCAGTGGTTCAAGAAGGCAGCTCACCCCCACCTTCAAGGGTAAGAACACAGTCGAATGCAGACTTGATGTTAAGGGTTGTCACTCTCACCTCTGGAATTCAGCTCTTTTATCCATGTGTGAACCAAGGCCGTAATGAGGTCAGGAGCTGAGTGGCCCTGACGTCACTGAGCAGGTGCTGCTTGATAGTGACTCCTTCCATCACTTTACTGATGATCGAGAGGAGACTGATGGGGCGGGAATTGGCCGGTTTGGGTTTGTCCGGCTTTTTATGTACAGGACATACTTGGGCAATTTTCCACATTGTCGGGTAGGTACCAGTGTTGTAACTGTACTGGAACAGCTTGGTTAGGGGAATGGAAAGTTCTGGAGCACAAGTCTTCAGTACTATTGCTAGGATGTTGTCAGGGCCCGTCGCCTTTACAGTATCCAGTGTCTCCAACCGTTTCTTGATAACACGTGGAGTGAATGGAATTGGCTGAAGACTGGTATCTGTGATGCTGGGGACCACTGGAGGAGGCCGAGATGGATCATCCACTCGGCACTTCTGGCTGAAGATTGCTGCGGATGCTTCAGCCTTATCTTTTGCACTGATGTGCTGGGCTCTTCCATCATTGAGGATGGGGATATTTGTGGAGCCTCTTCCTCCAGTGAGTTATTCAATTGTCCACCACCATTCACAACTGGATGTGGCAGGACTGCAGAGCTTAGATCTGATCTGTTGGTTGTGGGATCGCTTAGCTCTGTCTATCACTTGCTGCTTTTGCTGTTTGGTGTACAAGTAGTCCTGTTTGGTGGCTTCACCAGGTTGATACCTCACCTTCAGGTATGCCTGGTGCTGCTCCTGGCATGCCCTCCTGCACTCTCCATTGAACCAAGGTTGATCCCCTGGCTTGATGGTAATGGTTGAGTGGGGGATATGCCGGGCAATGAGGTTACAGATTGTGCTGGAGTACAATCCTGCTGCTGTTGGCGGCCCACAGCGCCTCATGGATGCCCAGTCTTGAGTTGCTAGATGTGTGCGAAGTCTGTCCCAATTAGCACGGTGATAGTGCCACACAATACGATGGAGGTTGTTCTCAATGTGATCGCGAGACTTCGTCTCCACAAGGACTATCCGGTGGTCACTCTTACCGATACGGTCATGGGCAGATACATCTGCAGCTGACAATTGGTAAGGATGAGGTCAAGTATACTTCCCCCTCTTGTTGGTTCCCTCACCACCTGCTGCAGACCCAGTCTAGCAGCTGTGTCCTTTAGGACGCGACCAGCTCGATCATTAGTACTGCTGCCGAGCCACTCGGTGTTAGACATTGAAATCTCCCACCCAGAGTACATTTTGTGCCCTTGCTATCCCCATTGCTTCCTCTAAGTGTTGTTCAATATGGAGGAGTACTGATTCATCAGCTGAGGGAGGAGAGTATGTGGTAATCAGCAGGAGCATTCCTTATGTTTAATCTGGAGTCAATGTTGAGAACTTCCAAAATAACTCCCTTCCGACTGTATCCCACAGTGCCGCCCCCCCACTGCTGGGTCGGTCCTGCCGGTGATACAGGACATATCCAGGGATGGTGATGGTGGTGTCTGGGACATTGCCTAACGTACGATTCTGTGAGTATGACCGTGTCAGGCTGTTGCTCGACTAGTCTGAGACAGCTCTCCCAGTTTTGACACTAACCCCCAGGAATTAGTAAGGACGACTTTGCAGTGTCGACAGGGCTGTTTCTGCTTTTGTCTTTTCCGGTGCCTAACTCGATGCCATGTGATCTATCCGGTTTCATTTCTTTGAGACTTTGTAGTCAGTGGTGTAACGGAATAGCTTGTTAGCCCATTGCAGAGGGCAAATGAAAGTCAAACACGTTTCTGTGGGACTGGAGTCATGTGTAGGCCAGACCAGGTGAGGATGGCAGTTTCCTCAAATGTACTGACAGTACTCTCAACCACCCCACCCCATCCACTTGTCTATGGCCGAAAACAACCAGCCCTGTCTTTCTCATCCCCCCAGGCACTCCCTTCGATGCCTTTCATCAACAGACATCTCTAACACGTGGGAGTGACCCAGGTGAATGATGAGGGGTGGGGGAAGCTCCAGCTGTTCTAGTCCGTGGCTGGTCAGTTCCCACAGGCATTCATAGCCCATTGCCACAGAAGGAACAGAGCGGGTTTGCTGGCTGGGAGGTCAGTACAGCCAGTAGGCCCACCTGAAAACAGCAACGGTGGGGATCTACTCTCCCACTGGCAATTTCTTCTCAACATGACCGGGAAGGGGAGGGTGTGGGTGTAGAATTGGAACAGGAAGTGCTTATCCAAAAGGAATTCAACATCTTTCTACTTACTTTGTTTCCACATCTGGGGCTCGCTTAATTCTCTTTGCGACCGGGGACGTGTCCAGATCGACTGAATTTTGCTTCTGTCCATTTAATGCAGTTAAATAGACATCTGGACCATGCCTGTCAGTTTCCAGAATATCCACGCTGCCTGTTGTGACAGGAGGCCTCCCGTCCAGGCTCGTCTCAACCTCCAGGGTCGAAGGTTTTGGCTCAGAACACGGGGAAGCTTCTGCACTGCCCTTGTCACGTACAGACACATCGTTTGTTATCATTCCCTCACCCACCCCGGGGGTGGTTCTGGGGCTCAGTCTGACAAGGGGCAGCCCTGGTTTCTGCCCGCTGGAGTCAGCGCGCTTCCTCTTCGGCTGCTGTTGGGTTTGGCCCCCAAGGTCAGGTTCTGCCACCTCCTGGTCAGCAGGAAGGGGACTGGCCTCTGCACTCCCCAGGCTTTCCTCGGCCATGCAGATGGGGCCTCCTTCCGTGTCAGGCCGGCTCCCCTTCTCGGCAACAGCACGTGCCAACCCTTCGTCTGCAGCAGGGGCAGTCCCGTTCTCGCTGCTGGTGCCGACCCCTTCCTCACTGATCACATCCCACATGGTGGGAGCGGGAACAGGAACAGCAGCACTGCCCCCGATGCTCGAGCCCACTCCATCCTCCACGGGGCACACGGGGACACCATCATTGCCGCCACCGCCACCACCCACCACTTCTGGCGTGGTGCTCCCACTCTCAGCAGCGCACTCGGACTTGTCCATTCGGCCGGCGGGGCTAAGCTCGCTCTTGGAGCTAGCCTCGGCCTCCAGTCCCACTCCTCCTTCCACGTGGGAGCCTTCAGCAGACTCTGCGTCCTCCTCACTGTCCTCATCCTCCGAAGACTGGGCTGACTCGGCAGAGCCCTCATCGTCTTCCTCCTCCTCGGCATCGCTGCCTTCTGCTTTCTCATCTGAAACACAATTGGACAGTGTAATTACTCTCCAAGGGAAAGACACTGAACCGATTTAAACTACACAGAAACCTGCAGCAGGCCGACAGGAAGCCGGAGCAATTATATCCAATACACAGGAGAGGGATGTCTCTGCCATTTGCTGAAATATTTAACCCTTAAAAATTCAGCATAAAATATGCATTAAATGTCAGCGAAACCTTCAGTTCAAAGAGGAAATTGCTTCCTCTTTATGACACTGAGGCTGCCTGACAATCAGGGAGCTCCCTCATCAAAGGAGTATATTAGCAGGAGCAATGAGGTAGGGAACAGATTGTGTGTGATCCAAAGAGTCAGATGTCTCTTGTATACTTCAGGCATGTTTCCCTGGGATACTGGCTGAGTCAAACCTCTCAGTCACAAGTGGGGAAACAGCTGGGGCCCTGCAGTTCCTTTTCCAACTACCTCCCCCCTACATAGGTCCCCCCAAAGATCGAACCTATTGGCTCGTCAAGAATGGTCATTAGAGAAACAGCACAAAGGAGAGGGAAGGGGGGGACTGCTCTCGACATTACAGCTGTGCTTGGCAGAGTAGTATCAAGGAGCTCCAGCAAGACCAGAATCAACGGGAATCAGGGAGAAAACTCCTCACTGGCAGGAGTCACACCTGGCACATTGGAAAAGGGCTGGAGTTGTCGGATGCTAGTCATCTCAACTTCAGGACATGTCAACAGGGCATCCCCGATATACAGACATCCAATTTACAAATGCACGTATTTACAATGGGACCCCATACACAGTTTTAAAATTTAAACGCCTGACTTACGAGTGGCTGCTCTCCGCTGTCCTGAATTGCGCTCTGACTTGCAAACAAATCTACTTGTGAATGGACTCCAGAACAGAACCCGTTTGTAACTTAATCAACTTCAGCTGCTCCATCAATCGCTTTCCCTCCGCAAGCGCCTTTGCACAACGTTTAGCACGGTTTGTGGCTGCGCAGAAACAGGAGCAGTCTGTACCAACATGCAGCCAGACCTGGACAATTGGAGGCTGGGGGAGGCAAATAGCTAATAACATTCGTTCCACACAATGCCTGGCAATGACCATTTTCTCAGAGAATCTAACCACCACCCCAGGGCATTCTGACATGGCCATTGATGAATCCTCCCGATATCAACATCTCATGGGAAGGTGGGAGTTACTGTCAACTAGAAAACGGAAGTGGGCTAGCTATGTAATGATGGTGGTTACAACAGCAAGGCAGAAAGTTGGATTCCTGAGATAACTAACTCACCTTGCCTGGCAAAGCCTGTCCACCATCTACAAGATCATGCTCACACTCCCATTGGGTGAACATTCTTAGCATAGTATCCTTCACACTGGAGCACCTTTCCCAGTATGACAGCTAAGACCAAACAGGCAAAGGGGCCAATGTTTTGGTAAAGAGATAGAGATGGGCAAGTGAACAAGCAATGATCTGGCAGATGGCGTGTCATGTGAACTTCTCCACTTTATCAGGAATCGTTTTAAAAATAAAACAGAGTCAGAGAGGTTTACAGATTGGAAACAGGCCCTTCAGCCCAACTTGTCCATGCTGCCCAATTTTCACATCCTTAAATAGAGACTGCAGAATGCTGCAGAGGGATCTTAGAGTCTGGGCACATGTTAGCAGCCAAATAGAATATCGGGCTTTATTGTGAGGAGAATCAAGTCTAAGAGGAGGAAAAGAGATAACAAGGTGTAGAGCTGGGTGAACACAGCAGGCCAAGCAGCATCAGAGGAGCAGGAAAGCTAAGGTTTTGGGTCTAGACCCTTCTTCAGAAAATGTCTCTAAGAGGTGGAAAATCTTGTTACCACTGTACAGGACTGTCAATAGTTCTGTTCTCCTTGTGAAGGAGGGATGAGAAGGTTAACTTTGCTAACACCTGGGTGAAGCGTTCTGTTAGGGGACAGATTGAGCAGGTTAAGTTCCTGGGAATTCTGCTCTAGAGGGATGAGTTGTGATTGAAGATCCTAACAGGATGAATGCTGAAGGGATGCTTCCCTGTGCTTGGGAATACGTGGGGCAGAGCTTAAAATTAAAAGGCTTCCCATTTAAGATGGAGATGAGGAAGGATTTCTGGGAATAAAAGTGGTCAACTCGGGGGAATTCTCTCCCACAGTGTGCCATGTAGGTTGGATCACAAACTATCCAAGGCAACTGCTTGCTTGGTTTGAATGGTGGGGGTGGAACAGGCTGCAGGGGACAAAGGGTCTCCTCCAGTTCCTGGTTTGGAATGGGCAAGGGACAAGGGACAAGGCACATCTAAAGCACTACGTATCAGAATACAGATACCTTCTTGTGGTTCATCCTCAGCTGCCACAACCTCCTCAATCTTTGACAGCTCCTCCTCGATATCGGGATCTGATGATAGGTCCTCATCATCCTCCTCCTCCTCCTCCTCGTCCTCGTCCTCTTCCTCTTCCTCCTCGTCGGAGCCACGACCATCTTCCTCTGGTTCTTCCTCTTTAGTCTCGCTCACTTTTTGAGCTTTCTCCTGTCCCTCCTTGACTCCGTCTGTGTTTGTTTCGGAGGTGGAGGTGACTGCCGACTGCAAAAGTCTTTTCTTTTTCCTCTTCTCCTCCTCCTCTATTTCGCTGATGTCCTGGATCTCGGCGTATTTCCTCACCACCTCATCGAGGCGGCCAAGAGCAATGGTCCGGTTTGACCGCAGCCTCCTCTCCAAGGCCGTGTCCGCCATGGCTGGGTCCTTCCCTGGGAAACAGAAACATACGTTATACTGTGGCGCTGGGCAGCAGGCCAAGTTACACCAACAGCTCAGTCTCTTTCCAGGGTCACCACACAAACACAGCATCTTCACCCGATTCACAACACAGCGCTCAGGGGAGCCTCCAACCCACTCCCAGTGCTAACACGGAACGGAAACAAGCTTCATCAAAAGGAAGCTAGCTCATTTCTGGAACAAAGCAGCCTCCTTACAAAAGGAAGGGTTGAGCAGGACGGACCTAAAAGTATCTAAGAGCTTGTTCTAGTGAAGCATTCCAACGGGGAACTCGACAGGGCAGATGCCAAGAGGTACGGCAACGAAAAGATATTTTGTCAAAGCTTTCAGTCTCACATGAGTCAGGCAACACACAGCAATCAGCAATATGAAGAGAAACACTTCATACGATGAGACGAGAGCACTAATTGATACGAGCATGGCAAATATACAAGAGCCCACTTGCTAACCAATATAAAAGATGCCTCAGGGCCTTGACATAGTCGATACGGGGAGGGGATGGATATCGAGAATGAGATCATTGTTTAAATCCAAGGGGTCACTCATCTAAGTCAGACACAAGGGGAATTTATTTATCTTTAGAAGGTTGAATGCCTTTGAACACAACAGAAGCATTCAGGAAGCACCCGGACAAATACATGAATAGGAAGGGAACAGGGGGATACGGATCCTGTAAGTGACAACAGGTTTAGTATGGAAGGGCAAAATGTGTCAGTGCAGGCTTAGAGGGCTGAAGGGCCTGTACTGTTCTTCGTTTTATGTAGATATATCCTTGCTAAGCAAAGGGGTGGTAGGTTATCAGGCGGACAAGAATATCAAGTGGGGAAGGTTAAAATTTAGATACGTCACGATTTTGTTAAACAATGGAGCGGGTTTGAAGGCTGACTCCCACTTCTAGACAATATGTACAGGATTTTAATGAATAATGGAGTGGAGGGGCTAGGGAGACAGACAGGAAGGTGGAGTTAATACCACAATCAGATCAGCCAAAATCTTACTCAGTAACAGAGGAAGCTTGAGATGATCTGCCTATTTCTGTTCCTCTTCATCACAGGACTTTCTGCAGTTGAGAAACGCTTCCTGCCTAGTGCCATCTCCCAAAGGGAAATGATATAATCGCACTGCACTATGTCCCAGGCACGGAAACCCAGCAGCTCTGGCAGCACCCAGAGAGAGAGAGAAGTAGAGTTAGTGCATCAAGTCCAACAGGACTCCTCTTCGGAACTCTCAGGACTCCACAGCGTCATTCCCGCTCCCCCCACCCTCGCCTCACGGGCGACCACACTCCGGTGCCGGGACTGAGGTCAGGATGGAGTGGCTCAGAGCAGAGGGCAGCTGTTGCTTCACTTGGCACTGAGCAAACGCCCTCCCCACCCAGAGTGGGATAAACAGACACGGAGGTAACTGGAGGGATATGTTCCAAACACTGCAGGATGAGATCCCCTCCATCCCCACCTTACACACCCACCTGGTTTATAATCGTCCGTGAGGTGGCTTCCGAAGTTGTACACCAAATCAAGGTGCCGCCGCTCCTGCAGGCGATTACCAACCTCTCGGAACACATCCTGCGCCATGCTCTGGATCTGCCTCTGCCTCAGTCCCAGCAAGTGCTTGACGCTGACTTTCTGAATGATGTTGCGGATGTCCTGGTAATCGGGGAAGTGATCCTCCTTATTGATGAACCTCTCGATCTTGCGGTTGATCTCGGGGTACCGGGTGCCAGTGAAGGCGATGCGCTGCTCAATGACGCGGCCCGTCAGGCTCGAGCAGTTCTTCAGCTCGCACAGCTTCTCGAAGATCTTCACCATCTTCTTCTTCAGCCGGTGCTCCTGAATGTAGGAGGAGTCCTGGTCCTCCAGTTCGTTCAGATCCAGCTCCTTTTCCTGGAGCCGCTTGATCTCGTCGGCGTAGACCTTCAGGAGGTTCTCCAAATAGCGGATCTGGCGGCGGGATCCGCTGCCCGTCCGTTTTTTCTTGTCGGGTTCAGACTGAGACACCGACGGGGAGGCTGTATCTGCCGTTTGGCCATCAGTCTGAGTCGGGCACGCGCCCAGCTCTTTGTCATCCTGGACGGACGGAGTGCCTGGCCCAGCCATTGCTGCCTTCTTGGAATTCTCCCTGCTGGCCAAGGCTAGTTTGGTTTTCTGAGAGTTGGCTTTCAAGGCCGTGCAGAGCTCGTTGATGTAAACAAACACTTTGCTTTTCTTGCCCTGGACCCGGGTGAGGCAACGGCCCAGCACATTGCGGAACTCCGTGGAGGCCAAATAATCCGGGAAGGCCTTGCTGTACTTCCTCTGCAGGAAGTGGATCACTTCCGGGTTCTCTTCCGTTAAAGTCCCACAGAACTCCACAAACTGCAGGGACAGGACAGGGAGGGAACAAGAAGGAGAAGCATTAATCAGCCATTGTAACTCGCCTGCACAGACAAGGCATTACAGGTCAAACACACACAGACTAAGGAGCTTCACTCGGTTTCCAATGTGTGCACCACACAGTAAGACTGTTTCCCCACCGCATCTTTGCAGAACCTGCCCTGAGCTTTAGTGTAAAACCTCCCTATCCCCCCGAGCACATAGCTCTGCAGGTTTTGGATACGGCAAAGAGCTGCAGTGTGCAGAACAGTCCTTACAGCACAGAGTGCTGCGAGAAGATCCCCTTCTCACCATTGGCCAAGCTTGGTGCTTGCTCTGGCGATAAGGCATTCTGCCAAATGACACTGGCATTCTGCCCAGGGAGCCATAAGACAACATCTACCATTTCCCTTCCCAACAAGGATCCAAGGTGACCATGTACAGACCAAAGAGCATCCGGGGAGGGGGGAGCAAAAACGCACCAAGGAATGTGACCTGACATTGTGTTTTTTTGTTTTGGAGCCTGGAGGAGACTGTTTCCCGGCTACATTCCCATGGGAATCTTTGATTAAAATTGATCATGGAATCACTACAGTGTGGAAACAGGCCCTTTGGCCCAACAAGTCCGCACCAACTCAGAACATCCCACCCAGACCCATCCCCCTGATCTACACATCCCTGAACATCATGGGGCAATTTAGCATGGCCAATCCGTCTAGCCTGTACATCTTTGGACCGTGGGAGGAAACTGGAGCACCCGGAGGAAACACACGCAGATACGGGTAGAATGCGCAAACTCCACACAGACAGTTGCCCAAGAATGGGATTGAACCCGGGTTCCTGGCACTGTGAGGCAACAGTGTTAACCACTGAGCCACCATGTCGTCCTTAGACCTGTGCCCTTTTCTGCAATTTAAACGATCTGGAATACCTGTTCCCGGGTGCATCAGAATGCACTTGCCTGCCAACCACAATTTCATGCAGGAGAATCGGTTGTTCCCGACACTCTACATTCCTAACACCCGACCAGACAGCGCACAATGTAAAGCTGCAACGCAGTGTCTCTTTCTCTAATAATACCCGAGCCCTGTGCTGCAAAGTGCATAACGCAATCAAAGCAAAACACAGGCCTCCACCACTGGAGGTCACAGTGCGGTTCAGGTAAGTTAGCTGTACTGGGCGGTGTCCCTGATAAGAGCTGAACCATCTCTCCAAGTCTATCACACCCAAAGATATATATACATATATATCACACTACCCATCCCCTCACTTCGGAGGAGTAGTACTGAGGGAATGGCATACTGCTGCATCAGCAGGACAGGACAGACAAGATGTTGAGTCAAAGCCCAGTCTTTCTGCAACAGAAAATGTCCCTCAACAGGAGTGATGATCACTTAGTCAGTAACTTTGTCGCTGCAGGCAGGATTTTGCTGTGTGCCAAATTGGTCACTGCATTTAATTTATTGGTTGTATAGCACTTTGGGATGAACAGAAGTTTCTCACTGGATAACAAAACGAATCCCCAAGCTGGGAGGGCCGGAATATGCATTGCACAATTTCAGAATCTTCATATGTAGGAATTTTAATGAGATTTTAAGCAATTTATTAAAGGACTGGGCTCTGAATAGATGAAGAGTGGGAGGTCTCTGTCCTGAGCAGTTGGGTCAATGCCAGAAGTTCTCAAGAACAACTTGCATTTCAAAATCCCAAGGTGCTCCACTGAAGCATTATCAAACAGGATTTAGCACCAACTATATGAGGTGCTATCAGGACAAATGACTGAAACCTGGCAGAACAGCAGAGAGACGGAGGAAGTGTCACCAGACTCAAAACGTTAACGGAGTTCTCTCCACAAATGCTGCCGGACCCACCGAGCTTTTCCAGCAATTTCTGTTTTTGTCCGAGGGGACAGAGGATGGGAATTGGAGATTAAATTGTCAAGATTATTATAATTATTGTGTCCCTTCGGAATTGCTTGCCACAGAAAGCTGTGGGGGGTGGAGTCTGAGTCTATATTTAAGTCTGAGATAGTTCGAATCTTGATCAGTCATGGAATCAAGGCATACGGGGAAAGGTAGGTAAGTGGATGCCAGGAATGTCTGATTAGCCATGATCCTATTGAATTGAAGAGCAGGATCGACCTATCCGGGTTCCTGTTTATGATCTATCAATGCCACTTGCCAATCAGCACTGTCTTCAGGGTAAAAACTGCACTAAGGATCAAAACTGGGCAGCTTCTAAATAGGGAAGAGGCATCGAGGTAGAGGTCTGTGCATGTGGTTACACAGCCAACTGTTACAGCCAATAATCAGAAAAGGCTCAGAATAGAATTCAAGGGGTAGGAAAGCAATGGTTCCGTTTTGAGTCCACATATTCCAGTAAACCAGAGTCAAATTCTGAAGACAGATCACACAAACTAATCTTTAGCTTTCAGGTACCAGAGACAGTAAACAAATGGCTCACAAAATCTTTAAGATGTTAAGATTTTAATATTTCAGGTCCACTGACCATTCAGAACTGAAGGAGGGTCAACTGGGCCCAAAATGTCAACTCTGATTTCTCTCCACAAATGCTGCCAGACCTTCTGATTTTTTCCCCAGCAACTTCTGCCTTTGTTTCTAATTTCCAGCATCCGCAGTTCATTCGGCTTCAGGAGCAAATTTAGAAATGATGGCCAACTTGGGAGTTGGGCACAGACCAACCACAATCTCATTGAAGACTGGAACAGCCTTAAGGAGCTGATTGACCACCTCCCGTGTTCCTACCCGTCCCTTCTCCAGCTGTGCAACCCTCTCCAAGGGATCTAATGACTGGAACAGGCTGGAATTGCCAATCTCTCAACTTAAACGCAGAGCTGTCTGTCTCTCTGCAGATCAGACTGTGACTTCACCTCATTCCTTCAAGACCCTTCTGAAAACCTGATCAGGATTTTTAGCCATCTGTTCTAATGACTCTTGGTCGTTCTGTTAATTTTCTTTTCCCCTCATGTTTCTCAGCACCTTGGGATGTTTCATACATTAATTGGCGCCGTTAGTGCTGTGGACATGTACTTTCTCACAGCCAAGTGCTGCTCTCCTTGGATTTACAGGGCTTGACACGAGCTTAAAAACTGACCAGAGATTCAGGAAATGTGACAACTCAACATAAAAGTAACCAGTCAAGCCAACAATCTGCAGGTCACTGAACAGCTATTAGTCTCACATTCACAGTCTTGAATGGAGTAACAGCACACAGGACAAATCATTTATTGGTCCTCAGAGTTTCTTGACCAGGATTTTAAATAGCCCAGCCATACATCCTAGATAAACATCCCTTCAGAAGATTGTCTCATTGTTTTGCTGCTTGAGATCTGGAGTAAGGGGGTGGGGCCTGCAAGGTGGTGGTGGTGGTGGCGGGGAGACTGTTCACACAGTGGAATTTTTCACAGCCCAAGGGATTCCAGGGGTTCAGTCAGTAAGGTTTGTGTTTTGAAAAAAAAAGACATAATTTGTGCATAGTGTGATCGCAGTCCAACACAAAACAGATCAAACAAACAGCCCTGTCCTTAGCTACGTGACCTAGAGATATTATTGCCCTGAACATGGGGAGTTTGGAAGTGACAGAATAGTTTGTTGACTCTAGCCTCTGGCCCAGGCCTTGAAATCACAAGCTTCTAACTCCAAGGTGAGATTGCAACCACAGGTAAAGAGGTGCCCAAAACACTGACACAATATCAAGGGGTTCCACAAAATTCAACACAAACAGAAAGCCCGAGAAAAACATTTCATTTATTTAACTTCACAAAAACGAAAAATGTTGACAACCTAACGGCCCTGACTGCAACGGCAAGGGAACACATTTGCACTTTGGGTACCTGGTAAATGCTGAACGTCCAGATAAGACGCAGGGCAAGACACCCGCCAATCTGTCCAATCAACAAGGCTTAGCCCCAGGAGCATTTGTGTCGCATATCCGTGTCTCAGCCAGGCTGGGTACCTTTCTGAGGAGCCCATAGTGGACAATCTTGTGCTGTGGATCTGTACCCACTAGAGAAAAGAGATACAGCGGATCAGTCTGGGGCTGGATTGAAACCCAGCAGGTCACAGAGCTGAAAGGACGTATCAATTCAGTTTCTCGGGGATTTGTTTTTATCCCAAAAAACCACTCAGGCCTCAATAAAGAGCACGTTTTTCATTACACAGTGCTGCTAAATATGCGCCAGAATTCTGACCATTTGACCAACAGCTCACTCAGCTTCACAATTCCCAAAGTAATCCAGCTTCCTGCACAGTCTGTGGGGAGCTGTTGTCATGCAGAGACGTGTAAAACATCAGGCATCATGGCACAAGTAAAATCTCTATCAGCCAAGAAGTGATCTGGGTTACAGAAATAACAGACACTGTTAGACAAACCCTCAAATTGTACAATTTCTGCTACAAAAGTACACGCCGGAAATTGCAAAACCACGGTCAGTTTCCATGTTGCGTTCAGGCTTCACAAAATAAAACAGATTTATTAACTGTCAGTTGATTCCAGTGAAACTACTGTACGACAGTTCAATCTTGGTATGGCCAAATCGAACGTACAGAACATCTCCACTTCCCCCACACATCACGCAAGGCTTTGAAAATACACAGCAGCACTTTGATCAATAACAAAAATGCTGCAGACAAAGTACAACTGCTTCTTAAAGACGGAAGGTGTCAATGTTTGAGAGAAACACCCTTTGCCAGAACAAAGGAACTCTCAAGCATCTTTACTGGAAAGATTTTGATGGCGGTCCAGTACCTATGGATCACCATTTTGCTGTATCTCAGGTTCTGACAATAAAAGCTACATACGCGTTTTAAAAATATCCCCTCACAAAACCAGTGACTCAGTAAAAGCAACATTTAATCTCACCAATAACAGCCCAGTTTCAATATTGCAACGTCAGAAAGCAACAGTGGGGGACTGAATGTTCAGATTGAACCCAAGTTCCTATCATAGCAGTGTTAGAGCCTGCAAATTTCCACCCTGCACACCATTCAAACTCCAAGTCAAGTCTCGCCTAGAGGAACGTGAAACCACTTGTACTAATGATTCCATTGAAAACTAACAGCAGTTTGAGGCCTTGTTAAGGTTGAACACACCCACAGGGCGAGGTGTAAAACAGAGTTTCTCTCCGTGGGAACGGTTCAAGGAACAGACATTTAAGCCACTCAGCATCAATTTTGAAAAGTATACTTGGTCATCTGTCTCCCTGTTTTCTGTGGAACCCTGTACCACAGGACTGGTCACCAAACCACAACACTTTACAACAATTTCCAAAGTTACAACAGGAGCTACAAGCTTGTAACAAAGTTACAAGCACCTGCTATCCAATAAGGAGCTCAATTACCATGAACCGGCTGTAAGGGCCCTCAGGTTTACCCCTTGCTGCTTTTCTATTCTACCCTCAACATCCCCTTGTGGACAAATAGAAAAAAATCACAATAACTCCAGACATTTGCACTGGGAATAAACAAACAAATAAACACACAAAAAAATGTGACTCATACCCTGGAAACCCCTTTCTCTGGTTTAAGACATCCCATCAAACCTGTGATGTATAAGTAAGTTAATAAGTGTTAAGTCGTAGCTACTGACAAAGATAAAGAGTAAGGGGGAGGAAGAGAAGAAAAGAGAGGAGAGAGAAAGGAAGTTTTGGTGGGGGTGATTGAGGAAAGAAAGAGAGAAATGGGGAAGGAAGAGGAGGAGGAGCCCGAGGAGGAGGAGGGGGAAGAGGGAATGGAGATGTTGCGGGTGGGGGTGG